GAAAAATGGTGACGTGTTCAATACTTATTTTACCTGCTGTATTTATACATATTTTTTCCTCTTTTTTTCCTTTATAGTTCTTCATTCCCCCTGGCAGCATTCTTATTTTTTGTACCATGTTCAAATGTTCAATAAAGGTTTATTAAAAAAAGGTTGCTGTTTTGGCAGCAATGAATTGTGGGTGATACACTTCACCAAAGACCATAAAAATGCAGAATTCGTGGAAGGGCGGAAATAGTACCCAAAATGGGAGGGGCGAAGGGCGGATGTGGAGAATGTGGGACACACTACGCACTCAAACCCTTCAACATGAACGCGCATTTGAAGTGCACGAGGGCAGAACGAGGGTGGGAGTGTGGGTAGTGGGTCCAGGGCCTAACACTGCAAACTTGTTTAATCAGCTAAAAAAACCTTGCTGTAAACCGGAGTACGAGGAAAGCCAGAAGCTGCGGGCCGAGGCTAMAACAAACTTTCCTCCAGCCGATGGTGGAAACAAACCTACTCAGCCGAGAATCCACGATGCACTAAGTCAATCTGTCCCTTATAAGCAGCAAAAGAACTAGAAGGAGATAATGTGGGGTGGGCCGTGGCTGTTAAATTAGAAAATTAGTTTGACTGATGATTTGTAATTGATTTAAAGCCAAAAATATGTAAGTGAAATTGTCATCTACTAATCGTCATCAGTTAAATGCCATAAATAATTGTGATTCATTTTTTTGCCAATATCACCCAACCTTATTAGACACTCAGATTTTGTTGTTTTATAAGACTGGAATAATCATTATAGATGTTTTATGCTCACTAACCACATTCATAAAATGTCTTCCTAAACAATGTTTCATCTGTTGCATTAAAGATAATATATTTAAACTGTAGAAAATGTTTGTTTATTTTATAAGTAAAATAATTTTACTTAAAAAAGTTTCAACATAAAAAAATCTAATGATCTAAGTTTAAAAATTGCATTTTGTGGCTACTCTTGAAATCTCATCTCTTACATGTGGAAAAATGCGGAGGAGAGAAAAAAAAAAGGCAATTCTGTTTCTGCAGCTTTGACAGTGAGGGATGAATCTTGACCTCAAAGTCCAGCAGGACAATTGCATTTCGGGCGCAGTTTCATTCGGTTTCTCCAAACACCTTTGTGGTGCAGCCATCTGACGGTGCACAATCCTTCACTCACTTTAACCCCTCCATACAGCAGTGAAGATATGAGCATTGGAGCCATTCAGGTACAAAATTCATTTGTTTCTGAGAATAAAAAATAAAAAAACGCTTTGGAACTCACCTTTTTGCTCTCCTCCATCTCATGTTCAAACATAGCGCTGAATACAGGAGAACGTGCTGAGGAGGAAGATAAAAAATGCTACAATTAGACAGCATTTAAACAAGTTGGTACATGCCCTGATGGTTTTAACTGAAGAAGAGTCGAGGATTATGCATGTGAATGGCATCTGTACCTGCCAGGATGGCTTTGTGAGCCTGAAACTCCTGGCCGGCCACACACAAGGAGCAGTCTGTGAAGCGCGAGTTTTCCCACAGCCCCCCCAGCTCGTCTGCTAGCCGACAGTCAGGCACCTTCACCATGTTCATAGTGTTCTGACCAGATATGTTGACAGAGTCCTGCACCACGCTCACCTGATGGAAAGAAAGTCAAACAAAAGGAATAAAACCAAACTGTCACATTGTCACAGCACTCTTCCACTAACGCCAGATGTTGGAGAGAATTTGGCTGAGAAAAGATTCTTTATCACCCCTCACATTAAAAGTAAGCAGTTAAAAAAAACTACAACAATATTGTAGGGTCTGTGGTCAAATCAGTGCTGATCACTACCATAATTTTTACTCGTWTTAAAGTTTGCCTCTTTTGGGACCTTATTGTTGAGACACTTGAACAGGTTTTGAGGTACAAGATTCCTCAACATCCCCAGATCTTATATCTAGACTTGATAGCTAAAAATGTGGTTAAAGTGGAGGATATATGTATTTGTTTAAGGTGATGATAATGGCGCACAATAAATGTCTCTACAATGTACTGGCAGAGCATTATGACTCATTATCTGAGGCTGAAAGTGAGTAAATTTGAACAAAGATGGAAAAAATGGACTATCTTCTCCACTTGTTCTTCAGTAGGGTCTTCAAGATAGTTTAGATTTTATTTGTCAGTAGAACCCCAAATGTTCTTCTCTTTTTGTTTGTTGTTATTGTATTTGAAAAATGCACAAATGAAGAGTTTTAAAAAGTCTACAACCATAAACAACAGCACAATTCATGAGAATAAAGTACGAATAAAGAGAATAAAGAGTGTACCTCGCAGAAGAGTGTGAGCTTGTCATCAGGTAGAAGACCATTTGCTTCATCAAGGAGGAAATCTCTCCGGATGAACTTTTTAAAACCCCAGTCTTTTCCCTGGACGAAGCGGTATGCCCTCTGGCTTTCTGCAGAGACAGCACACACAACCAGGGATGAGTTAACATTGTTTAAAAGATGTCAACACCCCACAGAAAAATACAGCATGTTTTTGTGTGTCAGGATTTGTTTTTTGTTTTGTTTTGTTTTGTTCTGCTCACCCATGGCTTTGGTCTCCTCTCCCTTGGCGTTGAGAATGGAAAACTTGAACTTTGCTCGGACCTCTGCCTTCGGACAGCTGACCAGCAGCAGGTACAGGGAAAGATAATCTTTGCTCTCCTCATCCAGCCCTTTAGGATTCACTCGCAAACACCTGGAAATGAAGTTAAGATCTCTATTAAATTCAGGTGACCTTGCTTTTATCACATTCGTGTTTCATTGTTTGATTCTCCTATTTTAAGATAAGATAAGATAAGATAAGATAAGATAAGATAAGATAAGATAAGATAAGATAAGATAAGATAAGATATATTTGTATTGTCATTGTACAGAGCAATATGAAATTACAGTTCAGAACATCCATTCAGAAGAAGACAGAACATAAACATAGGAGAACAGGTGCCCTGGGTCATGCAGCCACTGACCCCTGCACAGAACAAGGATCATCATCATGAAAACATCATGAGGAGGCGCAACCCTTAACAGAAAAACTAAAAACCACACAAGGGTAGATGAGGGGAAAAAAAACAAGGTGGAGTCTAGTTTGTTTGACACTCAGTCTAATTTGCCTGTAATGTAACCAATCAGCAACCTACCATTTCAGTTTGTCGTTGGCCCCTGAGGAGAAGGTGGAACTTTTGATGACCTCCCCCATCTCCTCGCGACAGAAGCTGAAGTTGTTGATGGTCCACATGTAAGAGAACTTCACTACTTTAATCTGTCCAAGAAAAAAAAGGAAACAGCAAAGTTTTGATTTGGTTCACATTGTTACATTAATGTCACATTCGACACATGTCACATGTTCGGTTTTGTTACCTGTGTGTAGCACCAGCTCTCGGCCACAGGCCCGCTGGACATTTCCGCCGGGGGAGGGGGACTCGGGACTCTTGACATTGCCAGTGTGACAGAAGGTTTTTTGGGGCAAGACGGTGAGAAGGAGGAGGTATGTGTTGCTTCCACTGGTCAGTGTTCAGTCCTGATGTCCATCTGTATTAGTAAGTGCCAAATGGAAGCAGTCTGCCCCCTGCAAATATAAAAAGACATTAACTTAAAAAGAAAAAAAAATTCTAATATCAAGCAGAGAATCACTCATCCAAACGTGGCAACACACCAGTGTTTTTGCTTTCATGATTCCACAAGTCTCAATATCATTTTTTTATTACACAAACTCTCTCCAAACAGCTGCTGTACAGTATGTGATCGATGGCCCTGTGTCTACTTTTAGGATCAATAGCTCCTGGATTTTAATTATATTTAAGAAAGAACTCTAAACAAACAAAATTCCTCCCCAGGACTGCGTTTAGAGGTCAAAGTAGCCAAAACCAGGTTACTAAATTACCTTCCCTTCCCACACACACAAAAAACCTACAAGATTGATGACACATCACACAATCACACAGCCTGGCACTGAGACTATGTTGGTTATTCAAACCCAATGTTTTCCAGAAGTTAAAGCTGAGCAGAAGTACAAGACGTACTGTATACTTCCAGCAAAACAGCATTAAAGTCATTTTTGCAAATAAACTAAAACCTCACACACTGTCGATGAGAAAAGTAGAGTCAACCATTTCAGCTCAACGGGGAAAAGCTGCAAAGAAAAAAGCTGATAATACAAAAGTTCTTTGGTATTGTACTAACTTTTATTTAGACCAAAGCACAGCACTGCAATTTTCTTAAAAAAAACCTAATTTATGTCAGCTTATAAAAAAGGTGTGAAATGCCTCTCTTAGTAAGACATTTCCGTAGTGTTTTTCGCAACTCCTGCAGAGTCCAATCTAACATGCTAGCTTTAGCTCTACTAATGTCTGTCAACTGAGTTAGGACTGGGCAATAACTCGATAACAACATGTATCGCGACAAACATGTGATCAATATCAATAGAAAAGACATTCAATAGAATGTTGATAATCTCACTGAACTCAATCCAGAACCACAATGCATTCTGGAGGATGGAGACAGAAGAAATGGTTCAGTCGGTCAACCTCTTATGGCCCAGCTAGGCAAGGCTTATGGTTTCAACTAACTAACTCACGAATTCGCTCTTTGGTAAGCTAGGTTGAAAGGAGAAAGTGAGTGCAACAGATCAAGACAAAATTGTGGATAAAAGAGGAAAGGTCACCAGTTTGGCAGTATTAATCTTTTTTTTCTCCTAAACTGAGCTGTAGGAACATGTAAACAAACTGCATATTTTCAGGCACTCCATCAGTATTGGGAACAAATACATCAGGATCCAAATATTTTATTGTGACATCTGAAATTATCAACAGTTATAATCTCATTACTGAGTTAATTCGAATATTTCTATATGAAGGATAGTTCTGTTCTCATGCTTTCTTTTAAGAAAATCAATTGAATGACAAGCGTATCAGTTTTCTTGGTCCTCCAACAGCTTCCACTGGCAAGATAAAGAGCAAAGATGATTGAAAAAGATTGTACAGGGAAAGAAAATTAAAGGTAAAGTGATAGCAAAGCCAAACGAAAAAACAAGAGGTGAACGAAAGATGAAGCACTCGGTGTGGAATCATTCACCAAGATAAACTGATTCTCAAAGAGGTTAGAAAGAGACGAAGGAAGACCACGCAGAGGTATGAAAGAGAAATCAAATACAAATCTGTGGACACCTGAACGAGTCCAAGATGCACTCCGCATTTTAACTTTTAGGCCTGAAACAACTGTACCAGGTCTGTTTTCATCAAATTATAATCCAGATTTCAGGATGGTGAATAGCAAAAAGCACAGTATATCAGGAATTAATTTATTTTTGCCTAGAACACTAATTCCCATCCTAAAGGACACAAAGCATCAAATATTAATGTTTTGCACGTGTGCAAAATAATTAGGGTAAAATTGAAAAGATGTTACTCTAATACAAGGTGTGATTTTAATAAGTGCTTCTTTAACAATAGCAGCTCTGCAAAGTAAAATACAATTTAAACATTGCATTTTAAGTGTTTGACTGCAGAACAGTGCAAATGTAAGGGTTTAAGGGATCTAAAGGAAAATTACTCTTTGGTTCCAGTTTGATTCTGAAAGCCAAGACAGAAAAATACACAAACAGATAAAAAAAAATAATCTAAATAGATATGAAACAGAAAGTTGCAGTTATTTTTTTCCTGACATTTCACATCCACGTAAAAAAAAAGAAACAGGAGAAATCAATCTCTGCTATAAATTAAAAACTGAAAGTATGAAGGCATTTCAGATTGCAATTTTCAAGAGAGATGAAAAAGAATTGCAAACCTTGTCAAAGTGTCAGTGAACACTGTGTCTGTTTCCGAAGCTTTGGTCTTTCAGAACTGCGGCAAGCCACAGACAAACCTTAAAACTATAATTGGTACAGGGGCCTGGGATCGATTGCGGAACGCGTGCTCGGCCTCTGTGGAAGCGATTTCATATTCTGCCCTTGGTCACGGCACTCCTCCTTCCCTAAAAACTCAATCTCAGTAAGGTATGAACTATTGATTTTGCTACAGCGATCAGCTTGCCTCACTCTCATCCACCGACTTTGTGCGGGGTCCACAATTACAGTGAAGGGGATTTGATAGGGCAAAAAAAAAAAAGCATTAGCACTCCAACTTCACCTTCTGTCTGAACTTCCCAACAAAAACCTTGCTCACTTCACCAGGCATGGGAGGTTAAATGGAGGGGGATCTCAATGCATATCTAATGTGTCCTGTCACCTTGGTCGGTTACACCTCCTGTGGTGACCTTTAGGAGCAAATCCTACGGAAGGACCAAACATATTAAAATATTGAATAAACCCACAATGCGTGGGTGCGCGTGTGTGTATCATTCAGCATTAAGGATTTGTAATTTAAAAATGTTATGTTGAAATTAAACTAACTTTGACATAGATAAAACATACCTGTTCAATCAAAATCAAAGTATAATTTTAAGATGCCACATTTACCCCCAGAATTTACACATATTCCAAGAAGTGGAAGCAAAATTCAGGAGAGCTCAGCTAAACTACGGTAAGTGATGGGTGGAGGGCTGGAAAATAAAATCAGGAAAATCCTACAAGTCTATTTCAGCTCTAACACATGAAAAGACTATTCATTTGGCAGCAACATAGGGACTTTACCAAAGGCAAGCTGATTTACTCCCAAAATTTTACTACTCAAACTTTTACTGATAAATGTAACTACTTATGTATGTTCTTACTGTACAGTGTCTGTATTATTATTTCCCTTACTTCAGTTGTGTATAGTGCAGAGGTGCCCAAAGTGGGGCCCACAGGCCAAAATTGGCCCGCCAAGCCATTTGATTTGGCCCACCAGCAGTTGTCCTGGTTATTAGATTGTAATTATGTTAAGATTAAATATAAAATACAAGTAACTACAAGAGACATTTAGATTAGATTTAAGCCCATATATAGATTTGCACACCTTATAAGACCACATATACTCAAATTTTAAATTATGAAAAGTCCCATGAGTCTTTGCTGCCTGAGCATACGTTGAATTTTCTCCATGTCTATGAGCTGAAAAAACATAAATAAAGAATGTGGGCAACCACACTGGCTGCTAGCTTAATCATAAAAAATAAAACAACTTTACTTAAGTATTAAGCATTTCTTATATTGTTGCATTTGGCCCACAGCCCTCAGATTGATTTTAATTTTGGCCCTCTCAGGGAAAATGTTTGGGCACCCCTGGTATAGTGTAATGTAATTTAAGAGGTCTTGGGAAAAAAAATGTTTTCAGCCTTGCTTTACAATGGAGTTATACGAATCACTATTTAACCCACACTTTATAATCAACAGTTTCTCAGAATGACATCAATCTGCTTGACATATTGCCAAGACTGGAGTTCATCTGCTAAAAGGTTGCATGAGATTATGTTTTGCTCCCCTTCTTTTTATGAAAGGGGGAACTTTCAGTTAAATCTCTGCAAYGTTCAATTTTATTTCTACCAGAGTTGTAAAGTAACTAAGTACAAATACTTCTTTACTGTACTTAAGTAGATTTTTTGGGTATCACTACTTTACTTGAGTAATTATTTTCAGCCTGCTTTTTACTTCTACTTCTAACATTTTCACACAATTATCTGTACTTTCTACTCGTTACATTTTTTTAAAAAGGCAAGAAGTAGAAAGTCGTTACTTTTATTTAATTTTTCCTCTTTTTCATTCCAGCTTGTATTGTAAAAAATAAATACTATGCATATAAATTGTGCCTCCTATATAGAGTGAATTTAATTGTGGTTGAATGAGAAGTTTAAATATATAAAGCTCTGATACCGTATTAGTTTGTAGATAAACAAATCATGTCACACTCCTGCAGGACATAATCATTAAAAGGACTGTACTTAAGTATTTGTGTTTCATGAATTATATTACTGCATTTGGCCACAGCCCTCAGATAGATTTTTATTTTGAAGAAAATGTTTGTGCAGCCTTGATATATTATATAAACTGAAACAGCTGGACTAGTGCATCCTAAATTTAACAAATTAATTACAGTGGGGAGAACAAGTATTTGATACACTGTTGATTTTTCAGGTTTTCCCACTTGCAAAGCTTGTAGATGACTGTAATTTTTATCATAGGTACTCTTCAACTGTGAGTGATGGAATCTAAAACAAAAATCCAGAAAAATACAATGTATGATTTTTAAATAATTAATTTCCATTTTATTGTGTGAAATAAGTATTTGATACACCAGAAAAATGAAACTTAATATTTGGTACAGAAACCTTTGTTTGCAATTACAGAGATCAGACGTTTCCTGTAGTTCTTGACCATGTTTGCACACACTGCAGCAGGGATTTTGGCCCACTCCTCCATACAGATCTCCTCCAGAGCCTTCAGGTTTCGGGGCTGTCGCTGGGCCACACGGACTTTAAGCGCCCTCCAAAGATTTTCTATTGGATTCAGGTCTGGAGACTGGCTAGGCCACTCCAGGACCTTAAGATGTTTCCTACGGAGCCACTCTTTAGTTGCCCTGGCTGTGTGTTTTGGGTCGTTATCATGCTGGAAGACCCAGCCACGACCCATCTTCAGCGCTCTTACTGAGGGAAGGAGGTTGTTGGCCAAAATCTCACGATACATGGCCCCATCCATCCTTCCCACAATATGGTGCAGTCGTCCTGTCCCCTTTGCAGAAAAGCATCCCCAAAGAATGATGTTTCTACCGCCATGCTTCACGGTTGGGATGGTGTTCTTGGGGTTGTACTCATCATTCTTCTTCCTCCAAACATGACGAGTGGAGTTTAAACCAAAAAGTTMTATTTTTGTCTCATCAGACCACATGACCTTCTCCCATTCCTCCTCTGGATCATTCAGATGGTCATTTGCAAACATCAGACGGGCTTTGACATGCGTTGGCTTGAGGAAGGGCACCTTGCGTGCACTGCAGGATTTTAATCCTTGACGGCGTAGAGTGTTACTGATTGTTTTCTTTGAGACTGTGGTCCCAGCTCTATTCAGGTCATTGACCAGGTCCTGCCGTGTAGTTCTGGGCTCATTCCTCACCTTCCTCAAGATCAATGATGCTCCACGAGGTGAGATCTTGCATGGCGCCCCAGACCGAGGGAGATTTTCCGTTATTTTGTATTTCTTCCATTTTCTAATAATTGCACCAACTGTTGTTGCCTTCTCACCAAGCTGCTTGCCTATTGTCCTGTAGCCCATCCCAGCCTTGTGCAGGTCTACAATTTTATCCCTGATGTCCTTACACAGCTCTCTGGTCTTGGGCATTGTGGAGATGCTGGAGTCTGATTGACTGAGTGTGTGGACAGGTGTCTTTTATACAGGTAACGAGTTCAAACAGGTGCAGTTAATACAGGTAATGAGTGGAGAACAGGAGGGCTTCTTAAAGAAGAACTAACATGTCTGTGAGAGCCAAAATTCTTACTGGTTGATAGATGATCAAATACTTATTTCACACAATAAAATGGAAATTAATTATTTAAAAATCATACATTGTATTTTTCTGGATTTTTGTTTTAGATTCCATCACTCACAGTTGAAGAGTCCCTATGATAAAAATTACAGTCATCTACAAGCTTTGCAAGTGGGAAAACCTGAAAAATCAACAGTGTATCAAATACTTGTTCTCCCCACTGTATTTTAATACAACAGTCATTTCAGCATTTTTTGAGGAGATCACCTAATAAACATAAAAACTAACTGCTCATTTTAAATAAGTACTTTTACTTTTAATACTCAAGTACAAAAAATATCAGATACTTTAAGACTTTTACTCTAGTAATATTCCTAAAGGAGACTTTAACTTTTACCAAAGTAATTTTTTGGTAAGACACTTGTACTTTTACTCAAGTATCACTTTGTCGTACTTTACTTACTCAGACCACTGTGCCCATAAGTCTAGTCCACTCCACCAGACTTGCACTGAAATGACCATCTTTTACCCAACCATAAAACATAGCACCTTGATGTTATCACCTATGAAAACTATCCATAACAATAAAAGCATAAACCGTCTAGAAGAATTACAACATAATGAACACTGCTCTTACTATACGAAGGCCAAAGATTAAAATCCCATAGTTCCTGGGATTTTTGTTTTACTAAGCAAACGTACATTGTCCTTTAAAGTCGACGCTATATCCTATCAAGTTGAATTAATAGTATTTTATTTTTAGCTGATACGAACACTTTGCAATCGATACAGCAAAGACAGCAGGTTATCAACCTGCTAATACAGAATCGAAACAACTTGCATCATACTTTTTAACTGGAACTGTAATTCAAATACACACACAGATCACTGTATTGATAGATGGAGAAATACATTTAGACAATTTAGTGTATGCCATTTAAAGAAGTGTATAAATCCTGTCGGTAATATTCATAAACTAACGGTAACRTGGGAGCTAACTCCGTCGGGCTAGCTCACTGTAGAAGCTAACCTGAGCCAAACAAAAAGGTCAGGATATCACCACAAATTAATATATAATATAGAAAACAACTAGCTTAGTTGTGTAATTTCAGATTAGTATTGTTTAAATTGCGGCTTTTTGGGTTCATTCATCAAAGGACTCACCTTTATGTTGAGTTCAATTAGAACGCTAGCTGTGTGGGGTTTTCTGTTGTTGTTAGCTGATAGCTCTTGACAGGCTCGCCTTTACAACAGCGCCCCCTACAGCCCCGGAGTGATACTACAAGTCAAGTAAAAGTTATTTCCAATAATTTACTGTGATCGTAATTTGTCAATGTAATGTTATAATTATTTGGTCTTCACGTTTTTTGTTTTTCTTAGTAATAAAACCGTCATTATTTTAGATACTTTTTCTTTTAACGTATTTGGAAAAGAAAAAAAACAGCATCTAGACTATAACAAATGGTCTGAAAACATGCATTAAAATACAAATACATTTAGCATAAGCGTAGCAAATCTAACTTTTAATGTAAATAGTTTTAAGTAACGAATAAACTAAATTTCTTACAATTTCTGTRTTATGAGAACCTTTGGACAAGTTTAGCTGAAGTTAATTTGCGCCATCTCGTGGACAAGATCTGATATAGGTACCTTCAAAGAACCAAATATTCTCATAAACGCAGCCTTCTTTACCCSTTTCTGTATATTCAGTGCAAAGTACTAGATAATAGTCTATAACAATAGAACAGTTGTTGAATGACATGTCATCCACAAGACATTACACAAAGAAATTCACAAAGAATTATATATTCAAACATGTGATAGAAAACTTTATTTAAAATCATGTTAGCTTTATAAGCTCAGAAGATTCATAGGTTTTATACAATCAGAATATAGGTTTCAAAAGACTTAAAGTTCCAGATGAATTCTTAATAAAGAAAAGCTTTCCACGAGCAAATACCCACAAGAAATATACAAACGCCCTTTCATTTAACAGTAAAAACACATAAAAAGGAAAACTACATGACACAAAAGTGAATATTTGCAAATAGTGAAACATTTATGCTCTGATCAACAGTTCTACATAGGGCCACACATGCAATTAATTAATCGTTAAGAGGGAGAAAAGTCAAACTCAAATAAAAATCATCTGTTTCGAAAAGATTTACTTCCTTTTTTTAGGGATAACAACATTCCCACTGGTTGCCATCGGGATTAGGAGCTTTCGCTGTTCCATACGAAGATATTTTTCAATAAGCACCTCCACTGGCACCTTGTCATTCACGTAACCCTGCCTGAAGGAAGGAAGGGAGGAAGGAAGGAAGGAATAAATAAAAAAATAAATAAATAAATAAATAAATAAATAAAATACCCAAAGCAGTTAAGGTAAATAAAATAAATTTCAAAAGGGAGACTTTTTTGTCCCCACATATGATGCTGTGAAGATGTGTTTTATCAATCTTGCTGCAAATCAAAATAATTTCCAACATTTTGCAAACAATACAAACACTTGTCAGGGAGCTACAATTTGGTAAAAGTGTGGTAGGGTGCAGAACGGTGTCTCCCTTCTGTTCTGTATCCACACCAGTGCTACATATGTCCTGCTTAATGATTGACAGGTACAATGTGTTCTTATGGGAGTGCTGTACTTGTGGTTTTAAAACTTTAAAAAAAGGCTCTTTGGTTTGTTAAAGCCAATTCATAATTTATGCTAACAAAAAGGTCCATAAACCTGACTAAACAGAGAATTAATCACAGGATGCATTAGCGGTTCACTTTAGCTTCTCAGCACATCTCAGCTTAGAGTTTGAATTTTATTGCCTCCAGTTTATTTTGTTCTGCTCTCATCAACATCCAGCTGCAGCCAATAGTTGTAAACAAAACAGAGCCTCAGTGTGTCTGAGGAGGCTTAGAAGACACTAAATGCATGGCTGTGGAGTTACTTCATTGTTTAATAATGGCAAACAGATCATTGTAGTGCTCCCAAATATTATTCATGAACATGTGATGAATGTTGTGCTAAAATACACTCTTGAACACACAACATATACAAACCTTTTCAACAGAAGTATAGCATCTTCAACCTCAATAGTTTTTCTTTTAGCATGGGCAGCGTAGGTCTCCAAGTCCTCGGCCAGCCGGTCCAAGAATTTATCCGTTCTGTCAGAAAGTCGACACACGGCAAACGTTTTAGCACGCACAGAATTTACGCACAATGCTTTTTATAGCYCTGTGTTACTCACATCTCATTTAGAACGGGGTAAACATCTGCAGAGACCTTTGTTTTGGCAAAGTGTCTRAAGACACTCATGAGGTAGGTCTTAGGAAGGACTCCTTGCTTTCTAGCTGTCCCTGTTTTTCTCCGTCTCACCTGCTTGGGTTTAGCTGCAGGTACAACTTCGCTTCTCACACTGCAAGTATGACAGAGATTAAAAAGAAACTGTAACAAAAGACATSTGACACTCTGGGACAGTGAAGAAAGCCTGTTTAATGTTAAATGTAAAAAATGTAAGAGTAGAAAAAAGTGCAACTTGCCTTGCTTCAGTATTTTTTAAAACCAAAGGCGATGCTGGAGAACCAGAGTGAAAGAAGTTCCTTTTCTTTTTGACAAATGCTGGTGTCTTGCTCTGGACCACTGAAGAGGTCAGAAACCAAAACAAGGTTTATGGTTGTCCTGATTTTCTTTAAAAAACAATCACTTTCTCAGAGACACCAACCTTCCTCTTCTTCATCGTCCCAGTCCTCTTCTTGTTCATCAGAGTTCTGAGCGTCTTCAAGAGAAGAAACGCTCTCGCGCTCACTGACTTCAGCGTCCAGCGTCCGTCCATGAGGCTGAAACGAGTTCTCATTTTCAGTCCTGGATTTGTTCTCCACGCAGGGAACAGGTTCCTGATCTGGAACTGAGAGTTCGGCCATGTCCAACTTCTTGATTTGGGGTTGACTGATCTCAGCAATTCCCAACTCTGCACTGGTATTTAAGTCAAAAGTACTGTACATTTTGGACTTGGCATCAGGCAACCCTAAAAAAAATAAAGAAAAATATATCAATGAATTGTAAATTATAAAAATGCAGTCAAGTCATTTTAAGTAAGTTAAGTTTTATTTATAAAGTGCCTTTCACAGAAATATGTTCACAAGGTGATGTACATTCATTAACAGTATAAAAATTGTGGAAAAATGAAAATGAAACAGAAAACAAAATTAAACATAAGCAACGAAAATTGAAACATCAAATCGAAATTAATTTCTAAAATTGTAACTCAAACACAAGGTTGATGCAGGGCAAAATGTATACAATAATACACAAAACATAATGAATGCGGGAGAGAAAAATATGGCATAAGTTCACAAAAAAAAAGATTTAAAAAATATTTTTAAATTTTCATTTAAAAAAAATGAAAAATTGATTTTAAATGATCAAAATCTTTTTTTTTTCATATATCTGTCCAATTTCAGCATAGTTTTCTCCTTCTTACAGCTTTAAGTTCACCATCACCTGCCACCACACACACACACACACACACACACACTTGCCTGTTAACAAAATATCTCATGAACCAGTGGGACATTTTAAGATTAATGTTTTAGGAAGGGAAGTAATAACTAACATCTCCAATAGATTAATGTTTGGAGTCAATTAAAGTGAAGATGGCCTCCACAACTAACTAATATATTATCGCACACAAAAATGACTGAAAAATATCTCAGTGCTGTGGTTAGAGTTATTCTGAATGTGACATTTCAAGGTTTGATCAAAATGGCTCCACAATGTTTTCTCTCATAACTAGGGGAGCACAAACTTTTTTTTAATCACAATCACTAATCGTTAAAAAACCTGACCTGCTGATTTAGATATATTTTTAAAATCTGACACTGTCACAGAGGTGCCAACCTGGAGCCATCCCAAATCATAATGATTGTCTAAGACCATTTGCGTCGCGCGGCATGTGCTCGTTATTGGCAGTTTGTGCGCATAATAAAAAAAAAATGGAATTTATATCTTTAAACTTCAAAGTACTCATACAAACCTACTTATTTCTAGATGAGAGATTATAAATAACAAGTGATAAAACAGAGTTTATAAAACGGATGCTTTATGAACATAACTTTGCTAAACAATACACAATACACCTTCAATGTTCCAATCACCTAATAAATCAGCTGACCGATATCGGTGCACCCCTACCCATATCAATAATTCAATATTAAAGAGTTTTTCTTTGCTTTGATGGTTAAAAGAATAACTTGGACTTCTTCTAACCATTCAGAAAATGGAAAATAAATAAACTGATCTTACCTGCTGCAATTCCATCATCCAAGTCATTCTTTGCTTCCGTGATGGGCAGAATAAGCGCACCCTCAGAGTGATGAGCCTTTCGACTGATGAGCTCCAAACCACCTTCCAGTTGCTCTTCTTCCTCCTCTTCTTCTTCTTCTTCTGTCTGAGACTCAGCCACATCTTCATCTTCAGCTTCCTCCTTGGATTGAGAAGCAGCTTCAGCATCATCTTGAGATGAAGAAACTGCTGCAACTTCATCAGTTTGGGAGTCTGCTGCATCTTCTTCCTCAGTTTGAGAGTCGGGCGAAACCTCCTCTTCCTCTGACCCAGCTTCAGCCTCTTGAGACACGGCAACCACTTCAACTTCCTCAGTCTGAAAGCCCAGTTCGCCCTCTTCTTCCTCAGATGGAGAACTTTCCTCAGTTTGGGAACCCGCAAAATATTCTTCCTTTTCAACTAGTTCTTCATCTCTTTGAGAGTCTGGAGAAACCTCCTCTTTCTCAGTCAGATCATCTAAATTTTCTCTCTCTTCTGAATGGGAACTGGCTGCTCCTTCCTCTTCAGTTTGAGCAGCTGCATGAGATTCAACTGCATCTTCCTCCCTCTCAGATTCAGAAGCATCAGCAGCATTGTCATCAAGCTGATTTTGGCCTTCCTCGGCCTGAGGTTCAGCAGCAGCTTCTTCTTCTTCTTCTCTTGGAAGTACAGTCTGTGATTTGTCTCTCTCTGTCCTGCACCGCTCCTCTTCCTGCTCTGCTTCTGTCATATCCGTCTGAAGCTGCGACGACATGACCGTGGCTTTGTCCTGAGTAGCAAGGATTGAAAAGCTGGAGATCATGGCGTCAGGCTGGTCATAAAGTGCTGTGTTGCAGTTCACAATATCAGCCGTTATATCAGGCATGCTGAGTTTGCTGAGACCCAGCGTGAATCCCTCAGTGCCGGTACTCTCACAGATATTCTCCTCGACTAAACTACACCTCCTTACATCTGGATGACAGAAGGAATAAAAGGGGGAAAAAATATTACTAAAGCAACTAGTTATCAGAATGAACAGTCTTGTTGAATGTAGATTGCTACCATGTAAAGAGTTCCTTTAATTTTACATAAACAATATAAAGAGTATAAATCAATTAGGAATTGTATGTACTTAAGACACTAAAAAATGAATCAGTTAGCACCTCCAATATGTTGTTCGCTCACAGCAGCTTCAAATTCTCTCTCTGTAATTTTTCTCCGGTTGGAAACTTTCCTCTGCAGACCCTTTTTTTCAGTCCGAACATCAGCGAATGGTGTTGTTAGACTCAAGGAGCTGGAGCTGAAAATTAGRTTAGACATTCAACATGTATGAAGTGTCAAAAAGAAAAAATAAGTAAGTCCTCTGGATGGGTTCTTCTTTAGTGAAACGTTTTGTCTCCCCTCCAAGAAACTTCTTCAGTCTGATGAGTTTCAGGTGAACTCAGCCTTATAAGCCCTCCACATGGACAAACAGTTTAGTCACATGCAAAAGAGGGCCATCGTCTAATAATAGGCTTGATTGGCTCTTTTGTTCATAGAGGGTCATGTGCCCCATCACCTGACCCGTGTCGTGTTATGTGTATGTAGTGAATGCAGGCGGGGCTCAACGTCCCCTTGTTTTTGTCCCTCTCTCCCTCTTTGTGTTGGTATCGTTGGGGTCCTGATTCACACCTTTTGCTCACAGGGGGCTGAGTCATACTTGCAATAACAGCGTTGTAGGAGGAGGACAACTGRA